TGCAAGTAAGAATTAGATAACGCTAAGATGTCGCGCCTGAATGGGCTCGTTGACATGATAAATAACTGCACAAAAGCATAAAAGTTTTTCAAGCTTTTTGTCACGACGAAAAAAAGCACCAGCCATGGCCCTGTTTCCATGCAGCATCAAACAATGACTTAGTACTTTGTTGTCTCTCGCCTCGAGGAATGAATAGTACGGCTATTCTGCGTGGCAAGCATTTGTAGAGGTGTCGGCCACGGAAGAACGAGCGAGATTCTCGCATTTTTATTCAACAAGGCCATAGTTTGCCCTAACGACACTAATATGATATATTAGTTCCATGTTGCATGGGAAAGCTTGCTAGCCATTTTCTTTTTTGTCGAGAGAGAAACCACGAAGTAAACTTTTCATGCTTTTGTGCAGATGTTTATCATGTCTACAAATGCACGCAAGGCGCTGTCTACTAACTTAATCCTGCATCTTACTTGCACGGCATGCGTACTGCATTGCCCAAGCACACAGAATGAGAGGTCGTCTGTCTGGTGTGGCTATAAAAGTGGTGCACAGCGGCGAGCCAATTTGGTCGACATGCGAATGTGCGTGAGCTTTGCAGCGCTGCCCTGGCAGTGTACACGTGGTGAACTACAGGCCGACAATTTGGCAATCGAAAGGAGTAATCCTGCTCCATAGGTCTTCCCCTATAGCCCTACACGAAACGCAACACATTGGTTCTATGCGCACTCACAAGCGACGGCACGTGTACCACTGGCGACACTCGGAATGTCCTGTTTCAATCCGTGAGTACTGTACTTCCAAAAAAGCATGATTCATTCAGCATTCTACTTTGCAGTCCAACAAGACTATTCAAGGCACTATCACACAGATTACACTTCTCTGTATGATAGGCCTCAATGTCTTGTGAGCTGTGTTCATAAACACATTCATGGTATTTTCATAGATTGTAGTGGAACATGTTCCTAACAATGTGATGAAACAGGTATGTGCTGCCTCCCAAGAAAAGCTGTCCCTAATTCAGATGATCAAACTCTTAGGCATAACGATTATCTGAGAAGGCTTTGTTATAAAGGAATAGGTACTTGCATGTTGCATGATGTTACTTAAAACAAGATTGCACTACAACTTATAAAAAATACCACAAATCTGCTCATACACGTGAAAATGAAAAACGAGCTGAAACAACAACCCCTGTAACTTCCTTAAACACAAATTCACCAAATTCTTGGGGCAGAAGTGCACATAGCAAAAGTGTGCTTATTTAAATTCATTAAATTTTTACGCTTCAGTGTTGTTTGCTGTCCCTTTAAAAAACAAAAAAATTAATGACACTTCTACTTGTAAAAAAAAGATCTTAAAGAAATCTCTCATTTCCACTAAAAACATTTAGGAAAAAAGCAATCCTCACGACAATAAGCGAAATGCATATCTGTGTCCTCGGTGTCCAATAAGTAAGATTTCATTGCACACAGTTTCATGGCAGTCCAAACACAATAGATGTTGATGGAGAAACTTGAAAAGAACAACAATCCTATATAAGGGAATGTCGCTGCAGCGAACTTTCTAACTTGTGTGATATTTAGCACAATACCACAAAGACCATGAGAGAGGACGCAGCATGTGCCCTAACTTTATATAAAATGGTTAATTGCAACTGAAGCACTAAAAATACAGGTGAGCCTCACGCCGTGAATTTTTTGTGCTTCCGTTGCAATAACCCATTTTGTTTAAAAAGCACCGGTCTCATTCTTGTTATATTGAGCTAAACTTACCTAATGTTTAACAAACAATGCTGAATGTTTTCCCTTGTGCAACCCTTTAACAAGAACTCTTGCCTTGCTCAAGACAGCAGTGACAAAAACAGCTGTTCCCATTGTCAAACGCCTCCAAGTGTCGCAACGTTGGCTCCGACAACATTCCATGTTCAGGATTACAAACCAAATGATGCATGTTCCATGTCCAAGGAATACTGCACTGAAGTGCAGGACATAGGCTTCCCACAGCTAAGCTAAAAGACAGTGTATGCTATACCTCAATGGTGCTATGTGTCCGAACTATCACTCTTTGGTAACAAAAAGAAATGCCTACCACTTATTAAGGCTTGTCAGGGCTTGCAGACCGCTCCAATCGTGGACTGTAGCCCGTCCTCTGTACCAGGACCATGAACAGCTGCCATTGCTGATACATATATAAAAGATACCACAAAAGATTACTTTCACACACAAGTTATATCACACACAGATAGCGAGTACGAAACAGTCTTAGAAAAGTGTATACTGATACATTAAAGGGTAAATCCTTGAATAAGGGATCATGGCACAACCAGAATAGGCAATATTGGACTAGCCCCTTCTTGCTGACAATTGACAGAGTGCCACTGAATGTTTCGCATCCACAAAACTACGTAATAACACTACGCAGAGCATGCACATGTGTATGGGTGATCTAATGATGAAAACCATATTTGCAAGAGTGCATGGTTTATGTGCACATGGCGTGTGTAAGAGGGGCCATCCATATTGTATTACATCATAAATGTAAGCTATTCAGGAAACGAACTGTTGGTACTCTGAATCAAATTCCTATGTAGTTTGACATTTGTTCACACAAGCTATCTCTAGGAGTTTTTTTGTTACATAAGCCCTTCACAAAAATTAATATTCTGAAACTTTCTGTCAACATCTGGAAACATATGAATAAGATCTTTTTGCTTTTTATTTACTACCTCACAAAACAAAATAAATACTAAATCCTTGAACGCTACACATAGGTTTACATCCTCGTCACACAAGCAAGTAGGCAATATCAGTACAACACTGAGTAAAAAAGAAAGCACGAAACCACAACTTGAAGCACCACACAATCAAGCAACAATTAGTTTTATGAGCACAGTGTAAGTTATTTGTGATGGAGCACCTGGTATGCTTCAAGGAGAAAACAAAGATTTATAGCTAAGAAAAGTTCCCACAAATATTGCAACAATGGTGTCATGTATTAGCTTAATTAACTCAATTGAATTCATATTTCTTCTACTAACACTCGATATCGACATATCTTCAATACAGTGATAGGAGTGTACTCTTAGTTTCAGCACATAGTGTATATTGCTAAAATACGTATTCTTCAAGTTAGCTCTCTTAAATATTTATGAGGCGGCTATGTTGAAATTCTAACCACAGAGAAATTACATGAATTTTGGCACAAGGATTCGGAGCGCAGCCACGAAATGTGCTTGACAGGGCTGTGCGTTTTTCTATCTACGTGCTCAGTCGCGTGATTGTTTTGCGCGTAAAAACGCACAAACTATCACGTTGGGTGAACGTGAACTGCTCTCGCAACACCAGTATGTTTAAAAGCAGACACTCTTACAGGGCAACAAGGGATCAAAGGATAATCTCGTGCAGTAAACAGCCCAGGAATAACATCAAGACAAGAGACTTGCATGACCAAAGGATAGATTACGTAGCGCAACGCGAATCTTTAAACATGCAATCAACGCACACAGCGACTGTTTTTACGGTGATATAAAATAATACCCGTGCCACACGGGCCTAGAAAATGACATTTGGTGGCGAAGGCCTTCATTTCCGAATGACATTCGTTTCGCCGGCGCTGCTACACGTCCAAAGCGAATGACATTTGACTTGATGATGTCGATCACAGCACCTTCCAAGTGAGCATTGAGTGAATAGCAATAAAAAAAATTAAGAAGCATTACAAGCTTCATACACATCAGATAACATCAAATGTAGAAATAAGCGTATTACGCTGTCCTAAGTTTTAGTTTCTGCTTTGTTTTACAACGTTGCAGCCGACCGTAGCAACCTAAGCCAACACTAGTCAGATCCACAGCGTAAATAGACACTAAATTGACAAGCGTTTCATTATCAATACTGATTTTCTTCGTATAACGTTCAAAGCATCTTTTTAAGACTTTAGTGCAAATAAAACGGGAATTTCATTTTTAGCTCAATACGATTTGTTTTATATACTTTCAGGTAAATCGCACTTCGCGAGCTGTGTCGTCGAGAGTAGGCATTTCTCAGTCAACTGAGTTCTGGCGAAGGCAGTTGGTGACGAATGGCATTCGAATGGCATTCGGATGAATGCCATTTCGTTCGCCCGTGTGGCACCGCGCGAATGGCAATAAATCTGAAGGCATTCGGGGTAAATGCCATTTTTTCTGCCCGTGTAGCACGGGTATTAGCCACCTCAAAACATACCTGCCTATCAGGACTCTGGTTTGTCATCCTCGCTGTGCCAACAAGCCGCCCGGGCCACCGCTTCCTGCCACCATTTGTCACACAATGAAGTAACCCAGCTACGTAGTTCAGCGACTTTCTTCAACTTACCAAAGTTTTGACATTGGCTGAGCACTCTTCAGTTACCTATCAAAAAGCTCACGCTCTCGCATAACATCGTCACTTGTTGTCACAGAAGGGGTCGTGGATTGTCCTCGGAAGTACACTCAACACTGAATCACGCGAACAACACGAGTAATCGATAAATGGAGGAAGAAATCACTTTTCAGAGCGAACACAAGGCGCGCGTCCGATGTGGCTGCTTGGAGCAGACACGTATGGTGAGTCATCGTCCGCCACTCGATCAAAGCAGCAGAACTTCCCGACAAGCGGAAACTATCCCGTAGACGAATTTTAAAGGAGGATATGCTTACAATGCACGCAGTATCTATCAACACGGCAATTATGCAACCGCGGACTTGCAGCACATGTTCTTGCGTAAAGCTGGTGGTGAGCCTGCAGTACAACGAGGCCTGTTGCAGCTTCTGGTTTACTGGCTTAACAAAATAAGTGTGCAGGTAGCAGCACTAACGTATCACTGTACAATTAATTTACAATAACAATCAAGTGTATTCATAACTTTGCAAGCCAAATGAAGCTTTCTTATATATTAGTTTGCAATATAGTTTGTGCAGTTGTAAGTATTTGTTTTGGATAACAAACAAAGTTTCCCAACTCATGTCAAAAGCGTTGGTCATCTCTGAGTCTCTGTAACACAAGGCCAATAAGTACAAATCTCAGAGGCAATGCTTTTGCAGCTGAGGCTTTCTTTGTGTGCAGAAAAGAATGAGTGGCATGCATTCCTGCTCTACGAGAAGAAAGGTATCTGACTGGGTGCCTGTTCCTTTACGTCTCGACGCAGTGGCGTAGCCAGGGGCTGTCACACCGAGTCAGTTACCTCTTTCTCCCCTCCCCCCCCCCCTCCCCGCGCCTCTCAGGCGATTTTTTTTTCGGCGTGGCATACATAGAGCAAATGACTGTTTTCCTGCGCCCGCCCCCCTCCCCGAGATCGACGAGGATGCTTTCCCTTACCCTCCCTTGTTTTTGTTTTTTTACGTACGCCGCTGTCTCTGCGTGACAGCTAGCGTTGTGACAGCAAAACAGTGGCGGGGTGGAGGCATGAATGCTCATAAAACTTCTCTCTCCCTCTCCGTCACGCCTTCGCTCTCCACCACCTACTGGTGGCGGGGAGGGGGCAGAGGGGCACATTTGGCAGCTGCCGCTCCCAGCCGTATTTTTGTTGTAAAGTGTGACTGATATTTAAATACGCTTTCAAATGATCACTACAACGATACGAGGAGTTTATCTCCTGTGTTGCCCTCGGTGTCCACTGAGCCCCGCCGCGGTGGTCTAGTGCCTCAGGCACTTGGCTGCTAAACCACAGGTCGCGGGATTGAATCCCGGCTGCGGCGGCTGCATTTTCGATGTAGGCGGAAATGTTGTAGGCCCGTGTGCTCAGATTTGGTTAAAGAGCCCCAGGTGGTCGAAATTAACGGAGCCCTCCACTACGGGGTCTCTCATAATCATAACGTGGTTTGGGACGTTAAACCCCACAAATCAATCAATCATCGGTGTCCACTGATCGGGTAATGTAACCCCTCCATGCAAAGGGCAAATTGGCACGTCTATGCAACTGTTTCGGGTACCGCTTCAGCGTTAGTGATCGACGCTATGCTTGTTTTTTAAACACATATTCAAAATTTATGCGCGCAAGGTGGTGAAAAGCACCCCTGAATGCCCCAGCAAAGTTTGCCTCCCCATCGCGCTTCTGGCACGAATATCCAATCATTAATATAATATATAATATAATAATAATATAATAATAATAATAGAAGTTGTTGTTCTTGTTTTAGATGCGCCTGTACAACCTCATAAGTTTCTGGGCACACTACACGAGTAAGTAAATAATAAATGATTGATTAGTAATGAAATCACAACTTGATGCATCATTAAATGTAAAGTTTGACCGTTGGCAGCGTCTCGCATCCTGCAATGTAGGCAACATAGATGCATGCAAAAATAATAACCACGAGATGACGTGTCATTATAGCGTCGCATGATAGTCATATTACATCGCACCCAATCCTGGCTGGCTGGCTGGCTGGCTGGCTGGCTGATTGGCTACGCAAAACGGCGTCTTTAACCGGGTGGCAATGCATAACAACATTAGTTGCAGAAAGTTTTTGAAGGGCGGCAAAATGAACACATCGTCTTATTGGAAAAAAGAAAGAGATGGCTGTCACCTTCGAGTTGTCTTACGTGAATGCATAAGAGACCCTGGAATATTATTATTATTATTATTATTATTATTATTATTATTATTATTATTATTATTATATTATTATTATTATTATATTATTGTGTGGCTGACTTACACATCATCTTCATGTCAATGTCATATTTACTGAAACATGATCGAAAATCTATGGGAATACAAACTGTTTAGTGTTTTAGATTTCCGAAAGACAACATGTACGTGAATGTCGAGATCAGCAAGTAATTGAAGTAAACTTAGATGCACGTTAAGAAATCACAGATCATCGAAATTTCTGAAGCACTCCGCTACGGCGTTCTTCATTATCATTTAGTGGTTTTGGGATCTAGAATTCCCGCGATTATTACATTTAGTAAAAATTGAGTTTTTGTTGGCTCTAAAAGATTAACAAAAGTTTTTTTCAATGTGATGTGTTTTGACATTAGGACACGCACTGGAAAGTCTGCGTACTTTGATCATCAGAAATCCTGGTGCATGTTGTCATCTGAGTCTCTATTGCACACCTGATTCTGAAAGACATTAGGCTTTGCAGGTGTAATGTCAATCTAGTGACTCATTAGGTGTGCATTAGCTGCACATTAGACTCTCAAAATTCATTTTCATTTCGGCGGCTTCATTCAAACCGAAATGCATACTGAAGCATATCACCACTTTCTTTCCTCAAGTTTTATCATCGCCCTATTATACTTTAGGTAAATTTCAGTGCAAACCATGCTTGCAGTGTTTGAGATGGTTCAGAACTGTAGGAGATCATTTGTTATGTTGACACGCACTACGCGAACATTACATATTATTCCGGAACCTATGTGGCCGCTAGCCATAACGCTGGAATATTCAATGGCACATGTATAAATGCCAACGTGCTTCACCGCTTAACAGTTAATCGACGGCATACACTCTATTCGCCGCTATTGGTGCTCCTGTGAATCGCTGTAATATGACATTCCGTTTAACGACCACAAGTTCAGCCAAATAAACAGTTTTATATGGACAAATTGTCTCTACCTTTGTCAGCGTCACGACCCAGTGACATCTGGTGGAGGTGCTTCCCGGCCCACGTACCAAAGGCCAACCTTCAGCCTTGAGCAAAGCCCACATCGTCAAGGGAACATCGATGCCAAAGCTGAGAAGCGAGCCAGCTGCCGGCAACAAGCGCCCCCACCAGAGTAGGGAGCTCTACCTCGCTGCTAACCAGGATCTCAATGTCGGACAGGGTGACAATAACAGCCGCTGTGCCGTCTGCACCAATACTGCTCCGGCAACCAAAGGAGCCGTGAACTTTCCGCGGTTCGCCACTGGAAGACCCTGAAAGCTGGTTTGCAAGGTCGATCAAGTCCCCCTTTACTACTGAAACAACAGTGAGATGTTGCGAATATTTATTTCTCCCTGCAAAATTCAGCTCGAACATGCATGGTTTGAGAACCGAGAAGCCACACATGTGCCTAGACCTTTTCCCTGCTCGCATTTCTTGACACCTTCACAAGCGTCGTCAAAAGAGTAATAGTCGAAACCATACTTAAGAGCCATGCATGCTCCCAACGAGAATGTCGGTATGTACACCTATGAAAGGACGCTTCTCTTTTGTCATGCCGAGAAGAAGCTCTGCTTCCTGATGCGGGAAGTCAAGCAGAAACTTTTCGCCGGCCTTGTTGCGACCCATTCAGGACGGTCACGGAATCAGTATCGGAAGCCACGACGATTGAAAAGGCCCGGAAATGCGTACGAAGCAGTACAAGTGCCACATTTGAACGACGACCTACAGTAAGGTTCAGTCGTTCCGAACCGATGACCTGTGCGAGACTATATCAAAGCCATCGTAGTATAGCAAAGCCGTCGTCCGTATATTGTATACTGTAGCGCTAAAACAAAGGCCCTGTCCAAAGCAGTGCCGCAGATGTAGCCAAGTTTTTCATTTAGAACATTGTTCTCCGTCATGATGCCCCAGATGTTCTCGTCCCCGACAGAGGTACGGCCTTTACTGCTGATTTGACTAAGGCATGTTGAGACATAGCCAGACAAGCCACCACCGCTCCACCGCCTACACCCACAGACAAATGGTCTCATGGAGCGTCTTAAAGGCTTAATAAAACCATCGATGACATGTTGGCCATGTACGTCAGTGTCGAACACAAGACATATGATGCCATCCTTCCGTGCGTGATTTTCACGTACAACACAGCCGTGCAAGAAACGACATACAAGTTGGTGTATGGAAAGAGCGTGGGCACGACGCTCGACGCCGCACTACCCAATGTCTTCGATCATAGTTTTATACAATAATATCTAGAGAGGAATTTGGCACTGCGATTGTGTACCCTCATGGAAATTATAGAAAGTACAGGCTTCGGATTCGATCGCGTTAGCTAGCGAACTGTCTACGAATCTTTTCCTACAGTTTCAGTTTCGTGATTCGCGAAGAGTAGTGGGTGGGTGCAAAGCACTGAAGCAGTGCTTTTGTTGTTCAAAGAAGCCGAATACTGCTAGGTCTCTCAACTTACAGCGACGCTGGAGGTATAGAAGTCTTATTTGACAGTTTAATGTAAGCGTCGTCCATTCACCGCTGTGTATAGATGGAGTGCCCCATGCCTGTGCAAACTATTACATCGAGCTCATGTTTTTTGTTAGCGTGTTTTGCCAAAACTCGTTTAAATCAACTGCAAAACGACGGCGAAGCTAAGTAGATGCATCGTCAGACTCCTCTGACTCGACTTCCCAACAAACGAGAGGTGCGTTGGGGCAGACCACTGTGACAGACGTCCCTGGCACCATAGCAGACCAAACGTTAAGTGTTTCTGACTTGATAGTGTAGTGGTATTTTCATAAATAGATAATACGTACTTT